TGTTATCAGATATCAAATTAAGATAGTAATTTGGCATACTTTATTAAATATGATCTCAAGTATTTACTTTATCAAAAATCAGTTGTTCTAAGAATTTAATAATATTTTCTTTTTACATTTTATGAAATTCTTTGCAGAGAGGACTATATTTTGTCGTGTAGGGTTGTCTAGACATGCTAGTGGTAGAAAAATTCAGATCATGTATTGTCAGCCTTAATTTGTCACTTCACGTTCCGAGTTAAGATTCTGTAAACAATGTAACACACTGAATTAATAACAGTGTCCAAAGGAATACCAAATATAGTTCCGTCTTGTGGCTAATATTACTGAAGACACTGTTAGATATCCTCTATAAATTGGACCGCAGCATCATGATTCAAGCAAAAAGGTAGGACTCAAAAATGAATTGAACAGACAAAAATAGGAAATAAAAAACCCATCAAAACATAATGAACTGCACTTTACACAACAAGCGGATGAATAAAAGATATCATTTCCACTCAGAAATGTTTTACTATCATAAATTAGCACTTTCTGTTAAATATCAGTATTCACTATGAAACATACCATATATTTTCTACTTAAATACGATCACTTATATTGTGTCATCGATCAATTGTTTTATTACTCCGAAAAGACACGTTTTTCTATCTCTTAAAACTGTTAACAGGGTTATAATGACACGTAATAGCAATAACGTTGGAGATTATGACACGTGTTGTCTTCAAGGGGTGTGAAACCACATCAGATGGCGATGTGAGCCACGCTTATAAAAACCTGATCATCTCAACCATCGCCATTTTCTGGCCAACCTGCTCAGAAGACTTACAGCCGAAATGAAGATAATCGTTGCTTTGTGCTTGGTTGCCTTTGTGGGTAAGTGGAATAATTTTTCAATGTTTTATGTATATTCCATCTATGAACACATTCAGTGAACTGCAGTGAAATATTCATTTGATACAAATACAGTAATCATGTCTGAAAGTGTGACATTATGTATAGATGTTTGGGGTGGCTGCTGCTGGTCATTACAGAATTGTCTTTCTACCTAACGGTCACATTATAGTAGCCTAAAGCCCTACTTAGAAGTGTCTGATTTAAGTTGTCTATCTTAGGGTCCTAACTTACCTATCCTAGAACACTTACGTAGCACACTAGAACATTCATTTGTCTGTCATGGGGCTCTTAATCAGTAACCATTGACTCTTATTTTCTATATACTAGGACACTATTTTGTTTTGTTTTGTCGATAGTGATCCTTTTGGACCCCGGGACTTTGTTATTTATATTTATATCATTGTATTTAGATTTCTACTGAATTTAAATTCTATATACCCACTTATGAGTTTCAGAGTTATTTGTCTTTAAACTTCTCCAGTTGGTGTATGAATCAAAGGAGTA